CATCCCCCCTGGGGGGTGATTTCTCGCTTTCTGTCTCTATGTCTCTCTCTGTCTGGCGAGCGCACGTGCCCTATAGCGAACACCTCTCCAAAAAATAAAAAAAAAAAAAAAAATTAGAAAAAGAAGGTAGGAACATAAGGTTATTCCTATGTTAAAAAGCTCAAGGTAGCCATTCCACAATGAGTACATAGTTTAAAGCATTGTGTTGTGTACAATAAGTATATCTTACTGTTATTTATCAATTTAAAAAATAAATTTATAATACATCAACTAAGTATGCCCCACATCAGATTTTATCTATTGTGTGCCACCTTAAAATTTACTGCTTTTGTTGACAATGAGTAGTGAATAATGTAGAACATACAAATGTAGTAGACAACTGAGAACCCTTCGATAAAACAATAAAGAGTATGACACAGGAGCCATGAGCCTAGGTGCTACAGAGTTCCCACGTGGACACACCGTGTGGACTGTTCCCATGGTATCATCTCCTCCTCTATCCTGTACTCCAGTTTCCTCACCTGTAACATGGACGAGACACTAAGCCTTTAGATTGTTGGAAAGTGTATGCACATTAAAATATGTGTTTCTCTAGAACAGAGCCACTTAATCATTTTTAGCCACTAGTTTATTGTTTTTATTCTTATATTTTTTACTTTCTAATGTCAGGGATTTAACGATGATCAAATTGAATTTTTTTTTTTGAGAGAGAGAGAATTTTGCTATAGGGCATGTGTGCTTCAGGGATTTAACGATGATCAAATTGAATTTTTTTTTTTTGAGAGAGAGAGAATTTTGCTATAGGGCATGTGTGCTCACCAAAGAGACAGAAACAGAAAGTGAGAAATCTGTTCCCCACCCCACCCCCCAGAGCATGGCCACAGCACAGTCTCTTCTCTTCCATTCTCTTGAGATTTTGGGCATGTGTGCACACATGCCCGGTATAAGTTTTAAGCCACTGGGTCCAGGACTAGAACCATGGTCAATTATGTGGTAGTCCAATGACATAACCATTACGCCATCTGCTGGTACCCAAATTGAATTTCAAATGAAAAAAACTATAATGTCAACTGGTCTCTATTTTGTTTCTACCATTCTTGTAGTTAATGAAAGATGTTAGAGCAAATAATCACCCTCAGTCTTCATAAGAATTGAACAGACTTGCCAAAAAAAACCAGATTTGCTCATAGAATAAGGTGGCACATAGTTCTTACTAATGCACAGGTAATCCTTTCTTTCTTGTTTTTTTTTTTTTTTTTTTTTTTTGGAGAGGCTTTTTGCTATAGGGTGCGTGTGCTTGCCAGAAAGACAGAGAGAAACAGAGTCAGAAAGCAAGAAATCATCCCCTAGAAGGAATGGCCATGCCACAATCCCTTCTCCTCCATTCTCCTCTCGGGATCTTGGGCATGCACACACAGGCACCTGGGGGGAGTTTAAGCCACCGGATCTGGGACTCGAACCGTGATCGACTACATGAGAGTCCAGTGACATAGCCATTATGCCAACTGCTGGTCCCAAGCCAGAGACACTTTCAAGGTTTTCTCTTAAAATTATATTCAAAGGCTTAGAGTCAGAACTGTTGTTCTTTAATTTACACTTTAATTTAGTGGAACTTTATTAGACTGAAATTAACTAAATCCCAGAGAGGCCTGGAAACATAAATGATTATGAAATGTTATGGACTCTAAATTGGGCATTTTGGAAGACAAAAATGAAAGCTAATAGTTTACATTTCACACTAACCTCTGGCATTCCAATGGAAAATGAGATGGCTAGATTAAATCAGATGAGATTTGTTTCTTAGATAATAACATAATGAGTTAGTTTTCAAAGTTAATCTGTAATAGGTTTATTAAATTAAGTAATAAATTTTTATTTCTTTGAACAATGTATTATCAAAATTTTTATGGCTATCTTCATTTACAATGACATTAAATGAAGAACTATTTCTTTTAAAGTTAGATATGGTTTTTCTCTGTTTTTGGTAAGAATTGAGAATGCTCTGTGTGGGGATATGGCTTCCACCAGATCCCTTAATCCTGTTTTAATTATGGGTGTTTTGCTACTTCTCATTTTATTATTATTTGTGACTGACATTCAGACATTCATAGTAATTTTTTAAATATCTAATTTTACATAAGAGTTCCCTCAAGATGACCTTAAGCTGAGAGTCTCTAGACATAATTATAGAGAGGAAGGAACTACCAGCCTAAAAGGAGGTGATGGTTTCCAGACATTTCTCATTTTCAAATTTTTCGGTTAAACGTGACAGAAGGGGCACCTGTAAATGGGATCCTGTGGTCATCCCTTGTCTATTCCTATTTTTTTATATTTGAAAATACCAGGGACCAAATATGATTAACCACATATTTCTCCCTGAAGACCTAAACCCTAAATATGCCTTTTGCCACCATATTCTGTATTTTCTGAGAGCACTATGCTTTTGCTTTCATCAAAGAGGACATGAATATTTGTTGCACACAATCATTTTTGTTTAGGTTCAAAAACTGAATGAAAGTGGGTTATACTACCCAAAGGTAGTCTTAAAACATGAGTTTTAATAAAGTGAAATTTAATTCCATGATATCCACTAGAAGTCACATTTCTCTAACTTTGAAACATTTTATTCTTTCAGTGATCTGTGTGTCCTATTGATAACCTTCTTTTTAAAGCCAATTTATTTATCACTATTATTATTTTTTAAATTTACTACAGGGCATGTGTGCTCTGCAGAAAGTGACAAACAGAAAGAGAGAGGGAGAGAAAGTGAGAAAGCAAGCCATCAGGTCTAGGACTCATACCGTGTTCGGCCATGTGGGAGTCCAGCACCTTAACCACCATTCCACCTGCTGGCCCCAACAATCTTTACCAATAGAATTGCTTCCATGATAAATTATATGTTTAAGTTATATAAGCCAAATATTTTCTCCAAATTTTAACATATCTTTACACTGAGCTTTGTTTCTTGATCTGTAAACTGAAAATGTTGAAACTACCTTATCTCTAAAATCTCTTTTGACAACCAAGACTCCCTAAATCTAATTCTAGACTCTTTAATTACTGAGAATAGTCTATGGATTTCCAGATGCTTATGGAATATTTCACATTATGTGACTCCACCTTGCCAAGTGATCCTCTCTGTTGATGGTCACCAAATCTTATTCCCTGAGCTCTTCCCCACTCTGTGAATGTTGTTGTGGTGACTTCTTGTAGAGAGAACAGCCTTCCAGAAGCAGGATATGGTGGCTATTAGAGGCCCAGTCATCCTGTCTTGCTGATTGCTTCTGTATTTGGTCATCTGAAAGTATGAAATATTAATCGGCATTCTTTTTGCTCTTTGCATGTGCATTTTCCCAACAGAAAGGAGAGCCCGACTGCTATGCACTCTCTCTGGAGACAACTGAGCAGCTCACCTTTGAGATCCCCCTGAATGACTCTGGGTCTGCTGGCCTTGGAGTGAGCTTGAAAGGAAACAAATCTCGAGAAACTGGAACAGACCTGGGGATTTTTATCAAGTCTGTCATCCATGGAGGTGCTGCTTTTAAGGTGGGTAGGAATGACATTTACACGTTTGTGAGAAGGTACTTGGAAACGTAGCCATTGTGTTTGCCAAATGTAGGAAATGGATGTGTGAATAGATCTGGGAAATGATTGGCTATTTTTTTACCTTTAAATGGTTATTTTTACTTCCTAGAGATAGTTAAAGAAAAAAAAGCTCTGCAGAAAGTGACAAACAGAAAGAGAGAGGGAGAGAAAGTGAGAAAGCAAGCCATCAGGTCTAGGACTCATACCGTGTTCGGCCATGTGGGAGTCCAGCACCTTAACCACCATTCCACCTGCTGGCCCCAACAATCTTTACCAATAGAATTGCTTCCATGATAAATTATATGTTTAAGTTATATAAGCCAAATATTTTCTCCAAATTTTAACATATCTTTACACTGAGCTTTGTTTCTTGATCTGTAAACTGAAAATGTTGAAACTACCTTATCTCTAAAATCTCTTTTGACAACCAAGACTCCCTAAATCTAATTCTAGACTCTTTAATTACTGAGAATAGTCTATGGATTTCCAGATGCTTATGGAATATTTCACATTATGTGACTCCACCTTGCCAAGTGATCCTCTCTGTTGATGGTCACCAAATCTTATTCCCTGAGCTCTTCCCCACTCTGTGAATGTTGTTGTGGTGACTTCTTGTAGAGAGAACAGCCTTCCAGAAGCAGGATATGGTGGCTATTAGAGGCCCAGTCATCCTGTCTTGCTGATTGCTTCTGTATTTGGTCATCTGAAAGTATGAAATATTAATCGGCATTCTTTTTGCTCTTTGCATGTGCATTTTCCCAACAGAAAGGAGAGCCCGACTGCTATGCACTCTCTCTGGAGACAACTGAGCAGCTCACCTTTGAGATCCCCCTGAATGACTCTGGGTCTGCTGGCCTTGGAGTGAGCTTGAAAGGAAACAAATCTCGAGAAACTGGAACAGACCTGGGGATTTTTATCAAGTCTGTCATCCATGGAGGTGCTGCTTTTAAGGTGGGTAGGAATGACATTTACACGTTTGTGAGAAGGTACTTGGAAACGTAGCCATTGTGTTTGCCAAATGTAGGAAATGGATGTGTGAATAGATCTGGGAAATGATTGGCTATTTTTTTACCTTTAAATGGTTATTTTTACTTCCTAGAGATAGTTAAAGAAAAAAAAATCATGATTAACATTGTTTTTTGCATTCTTTTTATTACTCCATTAGAATTCCTTTGAATTTTTAATGGGACAGAATTAAGCCTAAACTTACATAATCAGATAAGCAAAGCTAAAAACAACATTATGTACCAAATATCTGTGCTCTATGACAGAAATGGAAAGATCTGAAGATATGATAGTAGAGAGGGTAAATGTAGATACCAAAGACTGTGAGGGAGGGGAATGGGTATTAAAGAGTGGGTGATAGAGTGGGGGTAGGAGGGGCAAAGAGAAGTAACTTGTAAAAAACAAAGGAGTGTAAATTTCTTTGTGAAAAAATGTTCTGTAATTTTGCTTTATAAAAATAAAAATTTAAATTTAAAAAGTAAAAAAAAAAAAAAGCAATGCAAACTAAAGCTAGTAAACATAAAGGCAGTGAATAAGAAAATTGCATTTGCAAGAATGAAAGCTCAGTGAAGCCTGAGAGTGATTGAAGTGTAAATTAAAGGTCATTTATCACATTTTATACACTGGCAGATAACCATGCTACCCAGAATGCATATTCACTTTTAATGCTTGGAGAAGTTTATATACATTTCCAGGAAAAAAAGAGAAGATCATGATTCTGCCATTTCACAGTGGGGTGGGCAATGCGATCGTAACGATTCTCACAGTGACATAGTTAACTAGATCCCATGTATTCAAATCCAGCTGCGCAATTTGTGAGCTGTGTGATAATGTGGACGAGGAACAGGACCAGCTGCCTTCCATTCCCTCATCCGCAGAATGGGGGCAATAAATAATATTTCATAGTTCTAAAGATTAAATACATTGATACACGTAATGTTGATTAAAGCAGTATCATCATCTCATGCCATACAGTGAAACTTTTTGAATTTGAACCCTGTCTTATTATTCTTAGCCAAGCCATCTGAACATGTGCTGTGTTTAGGATGAGTCCTTAGTCCTATTTGTGGCTAACAGCTTGATATTATTCTTCTTATTCCTGACAGCTCTATTTGCAGAATTTATTCCAAGTAAAATTGAAACTGAGATTACTTTTTGGAAATTAAAAGCAAACATCTTAGCTTTTTTATGGGCAATAACTTAAGCTCAAGCAGATATTGGCGAACAGGTTTAATATGTGTATCCATGTTTGTATAAGTGAGCATCGTCTTACCTAAGCAGTTTCTAACAGTCCTATTTCTTGCAGAAGGATTTCACTTTCCATTTATGTAAATTCCTTTCCTGACACTGGTCTGCTGAGTCAGATAATCACACCATTAAAAACTACTGGGCAGCATATTTATGGCTGATCTTAAACAGTAAGAGGCATCAGTCATGAATGTAGCCTTCTTGTCAGCGTTTAGTATCCATTTGTCTTGTTTACCTTTTGCAAAGTAAAGGGTAGAAGGCAGAGAGGCTGAGTTTTGCTGGCAAGAACTCTGATTAACTTTTAAAAAAGGGTTTTTTTTTTCTTTAAATTTTTGGCTGCTCTTTTAATAATCCACTGTTACATCTCAGGAAATTGCCACCTGTTCTATGATTCAGGATTATGTTTTACAAAAATTGTTTTGAGACTTTGTTCCTGTCCCTGTTGAGAAGATACAAATGTAACAGACTGCCATGTCCCTGGGGCAAAGGAGAGATAAGTATTGGGAGCATCCACCTTAGCATCTGGCCCTAGGTTTTACCTGAAATCAACAAAATAATCTTTTTACCAGAGCTCAAGCTTTTTCTCCTGGCCCTTCATACCACTAATTGGTTCTCAAGGTGTTTTTCCCTTTAGGGAAGGTGGATTTTTCCAAACTAAACTACTTTGAAAAGTATGACCAAATTCTTCCTGTGGATTCTGCAGGCTTTATTCTCCTGGGGCTGTCTGTTGGTATAAACAAAGATAGGCTAGTTCTTGCCAGATGTAAAACCCCTGAAATGACTGTGACTTTTAATTGATGGCCTCTTTTTCCCCAACTCGCTTATTTCTCAGGCTATTGCTTTTTCTCATTTCATCTCCTATTTAGTAGAGATGTAAATCTCTATTTGAAAATGGGATCATCCAGCTAATTTAGGGAGCTTTCTTGAAAATAAGTCACTCATTCTAATGGCAAATGGAATAGTATTTTTACTGTATTCAAAATTCTCCAAATGTAATCTCACTTTAATATTTAACTTCATATCTACATATTAAGAAATAAAGCTGGGACCAGCAGATGGCATAATGGTTACATCACTGGACTCCCATGTAGTCAACCACAGTTCAAGTCTTGGATGTGGTGGCTTAAAACTCACACCAAGCACATGTGCTTGTGTGCCCAAAATCCTGAGAGGAGAGTGGAAGAGAAGGAATTGTGACATGGCTGTCCCTCCCGCCCTGGGGCGGGGGTGATTTCTTGCTTTCTGTCCCTCTGTCTCCGGTGAGCTTAAGTGCCCTAGAGCAAAAATCTCTCTTAAAAGAGAAGAAAGAAAAAAAGGAAGAAAGAAAGAAAGGGAGAAAGAAAGAAAGTCAGTCTATAAACTCTTCTTTGTGTATGTTAGGCTGCAAAACTTGCCATAGGGGGTTTTGGTTTTGATTTTGGTGTTTTTGGTTTTTTTCAGAATGAGATTATTGCTATAGGGCACATGTGCTCCCTGGAGAGTCAGAGAGACAAAGTGAAAAATCACCCTCCAAAGGTGATGGACATGCTGCAATCTCTTCTTCATTCCCCTCCTGCAATCTTTGGGCACGCACACACATGCATGTGGCATGAGTTTCAAGCCTCTGGGTCCTGGACTCAAACTGCAGATGAACATGTTGGAGTTCAGTGCCCCAACAACTACGCCACCCAATGGCCCCACCATGCATAGTTCTTTGCAGGCTCTGTGTGGAACATCCCTTCTAGCGATCCCTCTTAATGTAGAGTGGCTACTGACCATCATAGCATAATGCTACTTCAGAGAGGAGTGATGTAACATGCTTACACAAAAGCACATGTTACGTGTTTATGGTTTCCTTTTTGTTTCTGTTATTCTTCTTGGGCTTTTTTGCCCCTGAAGTATTATATAACCTAATTGCTTTTAGAAACAAAATATACTAGATACAGATATATGTATTAACTTCTCCTAAACTAGAAAACTATGACTGGATTACATTTATGATATACAGGAGAATAAATTTCTAAAATTCACTTTGTAGTTAGAATTTAAAATAAATATGATAGTGATGTTACTGTCAAATAAGTGTTATGTCTGTGTATGTGTATATACTGTCTTTGTTGAAATCATTAAAAAAAAAAAAAAATACCTTGAGCTGGGACCAGCAAGTGATGTGATGGATAAGGCACTGAACTCCCACATGGTTGATTTGAGGTTCAAGCTGTGGACCTAGTGGCTTGAAAATCATGCTGGGCACATGAGCGTGCATGCCCAAAATCCCATGAGAAGAATGGGGCAGAAGGGATTGCTGCATCGCCATCCCACTAGGGGATGATTTCCCACTTTGTCTCTCTCCAACAAGCATACCCCTCCACCCATGTGCCAACAAAAAAGCAAAACACCAAACCAGCAAAACAAAAACCTTGAGAAAAAATACCTCTTCCCCCAAGTTCACATAAAACTTATCTTTTTATTTTCTCCAGGGAGGCACAAAGTTTCAGTAATTAGGTTGAAGACCTTGGATATTTTTATGTCCATTCACTAAACAGTTTGAATTCTAAGATCAGTGACTTTCCTTTGCTCTATTTTTGAAAGACTGAAAAAAATTAGTTAGCTGAAAAATTTTTTTTAGCAAAAATGCATTTTTAAATCTAATTATAATCACTAAACTTCTCATTTTTTTCTGTTATTCTTCTTGGGCTTTTTTGCCCCTGAAGTATTATATAACCTAA